AACCCCATTTAGCCCCTCCCAGGACCACCCTGCCCCAGTGAATCCACATTAGGACTGATTTCCAGCTCCCCCCAGCCCTGCCCTGCCCAGCCGTAAGTCCCCCATACATGGGAGCCTTGGTCTACACATGCACAAGCATGCAGTGGTGGCACTCTCCCAGACCACTTTGTCATCTTTCAAGGCTTTTTTCTGGTCAGTCAGAGAGTCATAGAGCTGGGAACAAAGAACAGAGGTTGTACTTGGAGGGGATGAGACCTTTGGGAGGCAGAGGCTACATATTTGTAAGTTATGATTGATTACAGGCTAAACACAAGGACTCTGTACAATGCAGCATCCAAAGTGCTCTTTGAGCCCTGGATAAAGAAAAAAGAAGAGCTGGGAGCAAGGAAAACATTCAGCCTTTGTGGGCAACTCTGGCAAGATCAGCTCTGGAATATCAAATTCATTTCTGGTATCTACATTAGAAAAAGGGTGTTGAAACTTGGAGATGTTACAAAGAGAGGCCACAAAAATAACTTGAGACTTTAAGCAAATACCTTATTGAGAATGTTTTAAAGATGTTCATCTCTTCAGCTTGTCAAAAGAAAGATGCAGGAGTTACTTGACACTATTCTTTAAGCACTTACCAGATGTTAATAATGTGCTCCTTAGCCTACCAAAGAAAAATGGATCAAAGACCGATGGTTGAAACAGAACTAGGAAGAGGAAACATTTCTTAGAAGCTATGGGAGATTACTCCTTGGAAAAAGTTGCCAAGAAAATTGAAGGATTCTCCATTTCTTTGTGTCTGAGAATCAAAACAGAAAGCCTTTCTATAAAATAAACCCAGGTGGACAAATAAACATGCTGAAGTTCTAAATGGGTGAAATTCTGCATTTGAATTATAGAGAATTTCAAAATATGATTTATTTTACCTTAATTTATGCATTTCTCTTAGGTAAAAAACCACAATTAATATTTTTCAATTCTTTTATTTGCAATTCAACTGCAAAAAAATCTGGATTAGATTTAAAGGCATGATAGAAAGAGCTATTAAAGGAACAAAGCAATATGCTTAATCTATGTGTTAAACTTGTTCCTATACCAGGACTGCAACTAGTTATGAAAAGCAAATTTTCTGTATCTTTGGTTTACATCAAATGACCAACTTCTTAGCTTAGGAAAAAGTGGTAAGTCTTCCCATAATTTTTAATCCTGAACCCTCTTAATTGTCATCCACGTAGAAAAGAAATCTTTACTGATATATCAGGCAGACATATATGATAATGTCTTCCACTCTGGCTGTGTTTCCCCTAGAGCAACTATAGCCAGTCCAGATGGAGGGCTGGAGGCTCTTCCCTTTTTTGATTGAGCAACCTTTCTCTGCCTTTGATACAGCTTGTCAAACCATAAGGAATGCAATGACAGCCTTCTCAGAAATGTGTCACTAGGAGACATCTAGGGTCAACAGAAAAAGCTCAGCCACACGTTTCACTCAGTAGTTATAAGAATTCCACTATTTCTACAGGCAACTGGGAAAAACTGATAGTTTCTGAATTTAGTTTACTTTCTCATGGTCTTTTGACTACTAAGTGTACAGGATAGTGTAGGTTGTTAGCAAAGTGAATAGCGTAGGGATACTGGGCTGGGTCAGGCAGTCCATATCAGACCCATCCACAGTGTCAGCAGCATTACCCTGACCTCAGATTTTGATGCAGAGAATGTGTGCAGACACTTCTTTGCTCTCACATTGGAGCTCTGTGCAGAAAAAGAGTCATTTTATTTGGAGCAAAAATTTCCCTTCTCTTCCCTGCCAACTTTTTCCAAATGTCCTGCACTCATCCATGAGAGTGGCACCTCTCCAACAACACCCTGCCCATAGGATTCCAAACTTTTAAAATCTCCAGTGGAACAGAGGTGTGATAATAAACATTGGCATCATTTGCAGTACTTTTTTCCTGAGAAGAAGAGAAGATACCCTTCAGAACCATAAGGGCTTTTTGGTTATCTTGAAAGCACATGCAAACAAAAATAGAATAACAGCACAGTTACACTGCAGTGCAAACTGTGTATCAGTTTTTCCACAGATTCCTCATGAACTGGACATAAATATAGCAGCAAAGGGTGTTATTTAATGCATATAAAGCACTGTCATATGAGTGATCAGGCTGAGAAAATAATGCAATGTTTCTTTTATTAAATTATCACGTATTTATCCTACATTGCATTCTGAGGAAAATGTCAATGTTTACATTAATATTTTTAATTATAAAATAATCCCTATTTGTCAAAAAAAATTAATTCATTTTTTGGCTCTGCTGTGTGTAGCTACCAAAGTATAAATACCTTTGAAGATGCTGTAGAGAAGTAACAATATATGTACTGTCTACATTTACAAGATGTTTGTTTGATAAAGGGCATATAAACTGCTAGTCTCAAATGCTTTCAGAGAAAAAGTGGACTCATAAGTGTAGTATTTCCAAAAGCATCACTGAAAACTTTACCAAGATGTTTTATTGTCTTTTTTTTCCCCGTGTTCTTATCTTGAACGTTATTTGTTCATTGAATAAAAGCATTTACAATTTAAAAGTTAAGGTTCTAATTATGGCAGGCATTCTTCAAAAATTTAAAAAGTTATAAATACCTGAGGACCATGGGAAATCTGGTGATGTCATTACTTTTTAAAAAATATTCATAACAGTGGTGCAAACCTAAAATTTGCATGTTTGGTATATGAATGAAGACCAGTTCTGAGGATCCCAATATAGCTATTAATTTCTGGAGTTTTCCCATTACTGTTTCAATCTTGAGGAGTCCCCAGCAACCCTTTTATGTTTAAGCTTTAGTACGTGCTAGTCATGCAGTTATTTTTACTGCCTATTGGGTTTATTCTTACCAATATTTTTAATAACATTTTTTAGTCCAACGCAATTTTTTTCCCTAAGGAGATTTTACTGAAAAAGAGCATAAAGCAAAGCAGCAGAACTTTAGCTTTTCACACCACAGACCACCTTTCATCCATCCCCTCCCTACCATACACAAAGAGCAGTATAGACGGATGCTGAAATTACCCAAACATAAACCTAGTGGATTCCATGGGTTATGACCATTCCTAAAAACATTGGTTTGACCTCTAGTCTGGGAAGCCCTATGACCATGCTTGAGAGCTCTGGATCATCATGTCTTAAAATTAAGAGATCACCCATGAAGTGAATAGCAATAGGAATAAATGAAGCTGTTCCAATTGCTAGGGTTAAATTCTTTACTGGTATAACTCCATTAGCTGTTCCTTCACAAAAATCAAGGCAGTTAAATGAATTGCAGTAGAAGTGATGTCCACTGTGAGCTGATAAATAACTTACAAAAAGAATTTTAATTACCAAATTGTTTGCAGTGAGATTTATTCTTGCACAACAGCACAATACCCAGTCAGCACATCACATATATATTGAATTCCTTAGCAATATTACAATTCAAAATGATTTATGTCAATTTTGTTTTGGGTGGCAACAAATTATGACTTCACTCAGCGAGAAAACATTTCCTGCTGCTATCTCTTAAAGACTGCCTGTAGTGTTCAACTATCAACTGCTGCATCACACAGACTAGAAGGTGACCAATGGAATGTGCAAGGAGAGATTAGAATGAATTTTTGACGTGTGCTTTCATTTCATAAATTCCAGTCTCTGCAGATGCAAGTTTGTCATTTGTCATGAGTTTTTTTTCAAAGGCAGTTTTGTCTTATCTGATGTTGAGATTCTTCCATGAAGCTTTGAACACTGAGGCATAAGAAAGAGAAATCAGTTGGAAATTTGTTCATGTCTATCTCTGTGCTTGACATTTCTCCACTGATAAGGTACAGCTAAATATTGACTTTTTAGTTAAGTTCAGATTAGCTGTCTGGTCCATGAGCATTGATTGTAAACCATTATCTTTTCCTCATTTATGGGCCCCAGTGCTTTAACAGAAAAAAAAAGAAGACAGAAAGAGAAAAAAAGAAAGACATAAGGCAAAATGAAATGGAATGAAAAACTCTGTGTAATTGTCTGTAAAGGTGTCATTAAATTCTGCTAGGAAAAAAATAAAAATGCTCTTGATGTTTACTTTTAAAAAAATCCTTTTTGCATTCTAACAGCTCAAGTAATTTTTGGCCCATTTGAGGAAAATGTCAAATCAAGATTGCCACCAGGACACAAAACTGAGAAAGATATAAAAGATTCTTCTAACATTAACTAAATGCAAAACCTGGCGTTAAATAAGCACTATTAAACGTACTGCTCTATAGGGGAACAGTGGTACTGCAAATTCCATTCCATTATTGCAGCACCCTGTCCCAATCCAGTAGAATACTTTGGGTATGTCAAAAAAAAGAGAAGAGAGTAGGGTGACGTAACTATTTTAATTTTTGAACCGCCTTTGACCAAGTCCCTCCCAAGAGCCTCTAGAGGAAACTGAGATCATGCAGTATAAGGCAAAATATGCTTTTAGATAAGAAATTGTCTAGGAGAAAAAAAAACAAATTGGATGAACAAGTAGAAAAATGTCAGTTTGGCAAAAGTTGATCAGTGCAGACCTCTGTGTTTCTGCTCCAGAGAGGCGGCAGAGAGGGGACATGGCAAAAGAGTTCACTACTTCAGCTGCCAAGGGATGTCTCTTTGGATTTTGCAGCCAACTGAAAGAGATTAGGGTTACACACATGTGGATTTATCCTGAAGAAGCTATTGCACACTCACTTCACATCATTCAGTTACTCCCATCTAATTTCCAAGTGTAGACAAGTATTTAACTTCACTGGGGCTGAAGCTGGAACAACACCCTGGCTGCCCTGAGCAGGTGAGATGCCTGCTACCCTCAGGTGCCAGGAGGAGGAAAGGGGTGATAGAGAGAGGTCTGGATCAGGGAGGTAGTCAGCATTAATGTTGACAAAATCTGTGTCTTTTCCTCTAAGACAATAGCCAGGCCTGATCTGAGCTAATAGTATCAGCTAACTAGAACATGCATACTGGCTTTTATAACTTGAACTCTGATGGGCAGTGCAGACAAGGAGTTAAGTTTAAAATTTTTGGTCAGCATATGGTATCTCTGTGTGACCTTAAATCACTAAAGGAGATTGTGGTAGGGGAAAAGAAGCTGCCCTCAGTGGGGCAGAACCAGCTGATGCCTGGATCAAATATAAAGGGAAAAAAGCTTCTCTGACACTCAGTAGACACCATAGAAGTAAGTTTAGGGATCCTTTCTGCTGTGGACTATACCAGCACTGCCCAGTCTGGAATCAGGAACTCCATGTGTTTTCCTGTGTTCTTCTTCTTCACTGTGTCTGGGTACACAGTTCACATTTCAGATCCTATGTGTGAGTACATTGCAACAATGACAGCTTAGTTGAAGGAATACAACTAAATTAAATCCTTTACGTGGCTTATTTACAATTTCTAATAGTACCACCTGCTACAAGAGGAGTCATCTAGATGCCTGATTTTCTCTTGGGAGTTTTGGTTCAGAGCAGAAAAGGGAAGGGAAGCTCTGAATTACAACGTTAAAGGCTTCATTGCATCATTTGGTACAGCAGAGCATAGTGGAGACCCACATATTTCCACCTTAAGCATAAGGAAAAATCTGTCATGGGAATATATAGCTTGGATATGGTACAGCAAGTGTTGTCATAAATATCTCACGTGATATAACATGCAAATAAAATGAAAATACAAAAAAGAGGTGTCTGTCTTTGCATCTTATTTAAGGTCTTTTTTCTTTAGATTTTCTTAATTGCTAGCACACCATATCTTCCACAGAAAGAGCTTGTAATATTTCAGTTTTAGTGACTGCCTTTTCTATTACTATAGCACGAAGCATGAATGTCAGCAAAAATTTCCAAAACTTAAAAAATAATTGATTACCTAAAATCCTTTTTCCTCTTTAAAACCAAATGTCACACCTATGCCAAGTTTCATATTGATGCATATGTAAATCTAAATTATAAATCCTCAGAAATATATTCACAACTGCAATGCTGATAGGCTCTTAACTTGCACCTACAGTCCCAGAAATGAGCGCTGTGATCTCAATACATACCACAGGTCCTGCTGGATTTGGGTTAAATCAACCTGTGGGTGGGAAACATCAATGTAGTTTTAGGAAGCAGTATTAATGATTTAGAATGTATTTACCCTGCAAATTTTGCTCGGGTTGCAGTACAGTTCACTGTTTTCAGAAAGCAGGAGTAACATTTTAACATTGCTCTTGAAAAAGGATGCAGGACTGTCAACTTCTAACTACAATCATTCTGTGCAACTACAAATATGTAGCATAATTAGAACAAGCTGGGGACCTCTTATGACAATAGGAGCCTGTAAAAAGATGTGTTGATTCTGAGAAAGTCTTCATTTTGCTCTCAATAGTGACATTATGCAAGGCCTTTTTTAAGCACTTGGTCCTCCCCGGTACAGTGTTCATGCTCACATATGGCTGGGAATTCAGGGGCCATAGCCAGTGACTTAACACTCCAGAAAGCCTCCACAGTTCTCCCCAAATGATGAATTGTGATGGGATTTGTCGGGTCTTCTGAGCATAAAGAGGGAGATTTGTGGAAAAGGATGGCAGAATTATTAGTATGCAAGTGACTCAGTCAGCATCCTACTTGGAAGACAATGAACTGAATGAATGTGGCATCCTCTTATCACTATGCCTGGCTGGGTCAATAATCCTGAAATTACAGCATCACCAAAGTAAGGTGAGTAAATGTTGTGTGTAGATAAAATGTAAAACCAAAGTGAAGTTCAAATCAGCTCCATAATGTAGATCTGTGGAAGTCAAAAAGCACAGATTCTTCTATGCATCAGAAGTAGTAAGTGTGAAGAGAACATACACAAAAACAAACAAACAAAAAAAGCTGCAAAATACACTTCCACTTCAATAGAATTGGTCTCTAATATTTTTACTTTAGTTAAAAAAAAAAAAAAGACAACTGTTTTCTGATCAGAACCATCTGAAAAACTCTGCATACCACAATGTGATCCACAGTCCCTCTTGCATACCTGCTGAATCTGCTTTAAAGAGAAATTAATGGGTCTTCTGATATCTCAGGTAGAAGTGCATATGCCCATATTCAGCATGTCTGCCATTCAATTGGCTATCTTCTTGATTCCTCTAGGTCTCTCCTTCTTCCCTTTCTCCTCTTATTTTCCTTTTATTCTAGAGAGAAAAGGTCAGAAAATCTAACCTAAACTTTCATTGGAACAAAATTATATTACTTATTTTTATCTATATTTTAACTGTCTGTATTTTGCACAAATCTGAATGCAATAAACTCATAGGTGTATTTTTAAAAATCCATTTAAAAATTACCATTTTTCAAGCACCCTATTAGTTGACTGATGCTTTCAACTACCTTTCCTCTATGACCACTAAAAGCTCAGTAAAGGTCTTGCTGATCCTAACAGACATCTTTCAAGTTGTCACAAAAAGATTTCTCAACCAAACCCTAAAGGTACTATTTTTATCAGTGTTTGTCAAGTTCAGCTGAAAATATTAAAATTAAATGAGAGAACTCCAGGTCTTCAAGGCACTCACTTGAATAAATACCAGAAAATTAAACCAAATTCAGTCATGTCTCCAGCAATTGCACTCAAGCCAGTGGCATTTCAAAGGTTTCAGATAACAAGAGAATTTGTCCCAGTCAGTGTTTTGCAGGCGATTTACAACCAGAGTTCACTGACTTCAGTGAAAATTCCACCATGATAACCATGACAGAGCTGGGAATGATTATATACAGTTAAGATATAAAGACCTAATGAAGCATGCACGAATCAGTTCAATACTTGGAATATTCTCTCAGGACGGCTGGTTAGATAATAACTTAAATAGATTAAGAGTTATAAACGGGATTCTTCTTTGTCTTTGTCTTCTAATTAAATAAGGACTAACCTACACTAAGAATGTAGTAATCTATAAAGTTATTCAAAAGACAATTGAAAGAATAAATAAAATCCTAGAGATGTTTTCCCACCAAAAAAGCTTGCCCTTTCATCCTGCAATTTTCCGGTCTTAACTAGAGCAATCTTGTTCAGAAATGTGTGGAGCAGCCAACCATATATCCACTGTCACTTCTCATTTATTGATGGTTAATATACTGATGTAGGCACTTCAGATTTGTCAGCAATTATTAGAGATAATTCACATTACACATATATGCACAAAATTAATACAATACTGAGCAAACTTCTAATTTCTTTTCCATTTCTTTGAAGATAAAAAATCGCTGTCTGTGTTTTGGAGCATGAGAAACAGGATGGAAAATACCGTAAGGGACTATTACCCTGTCTCCAGCGTGGTCTCCCAACAATTCTCTGGCAGCTAGGGAATTATTCTTAATTATGTCCTGGACACTTGTAACGGTTTTGAGTTTAGGCCTTCCTTCCTGGTTGCCAGGAAGGAAGGAAGGAAGTATTCCATCCTATTCCTTTACATAATCCAGCATATAAATAGACGGAGAGAGAAGCCTCGTCCTCTCTTCCGTTCCACGAGGTTTGGAGGCAGCAGACTCCCTCAGGCCGGTCTCGCTCCTGCGGGGGAGCTGAGGCCTGGCCGGGCCTACGGGGCCTGTTGTTTCTGCCGATCCAGAGTCTGGCAGTGTGGCGATGGCGTTTGGGCCACTGCGCTATCCCAAGGAAACAGTAAGATATTCTTTTACTAATTCTTTAGTTTACCAGATCCTGAGTTTTTTGATTGTGCATATCTGTTTTGGTTTTGTCCTTTTTTTTTGTCCTTTTTTCCCCCTTCCCTTTCCCTTTTGGGATTGTACATAGTATTTCAACTGTACATAACACTTCACCCCATTCTACCATGCAATAACCCTTAAGAACCTGGACCATCATATGTAACTGGATCATTATCAGTTTTAGTAATGGAAATTAATCACCTCTGGTAGAGCTGCATTGGTGGAAATTGTTGTAGAATGTTACTCAGGGTTTCACTACCGTCTCTTATCCCTAAAAGGACAAGATGCTGGGACCAGTTCAGGAGATGGATGGTAGATGTTTTCCTGTTTTCAGGTACTGACAAAGAGTTTGGCAGCTCTTTCATGCGTTAATCCTGCAGGCAGTACTAACTCAGAATTTCCAAAGACTTGCCATCACAGTGAGATGTGGAATGATTATGCAGTTATCTAAATGGAGTGCCATCAAATGCAGGTGTGTTCAGAGTATTGGAAAAAAGCCTCTGTAAGGTGCAAAAAAAAATTATTGAAACAGAAGTCACTGAATGCAGAAATAACTCTAATATAATTACACATTATCCAAAAATACTGAGGCTGATGGTAATAAATACAGTCATAAGAACTGGGGTAACATTCAATCCATCACAGGATTCCAAAAAAAACCAGTTAGAAAGAAACAAGAATCATAACAGATAAGGAACAGAACAAACAGAACAAAGTGCTGCTAATCCTTATTAGGTTAAAAAAAAAGTCCAGTCTTTTATGATCTCATTGCTAGACACTGCTTTCAAGGAAAATTACATGGTTTATATCTGATCTTTTTTCCATATTTTGCATGATCAGTATTACAGTCTTTCAATCTCTGCCTTCTCCACTTCCTGCCTTCTGTTTATGTGATGATTAAGGACAATTTAAGGAGCAGAGATTTCCAGTGTGGCAGCCCCAGATGAGGAACTGGAGGATTGTAAAGCTAGTCATCCAAAGCGTAAAATGGCTCCCTCACACTTATTCACTGTGCTGTGGGCTATAGACAGCTCACGGCAGAGCTGTGTACATGGCCTATGTTGCAAAGAGAGTGCAGACTGGAGCCAGAACTTACTGTTACCTGGAAATTTTAACCAAGTTGCATACAATCAAAAGAAAAGAACAGGGAATCATGCAAGGCATCACCAGTTGAACCTTCTGTGTTTGTGGCCCTTTACTATATTATCACCATTATCCATGTCCACATCATTCCATGTAATTGTTCAAGACTGTGTTTATAATCACAATGACATTTCACCCTTCCATCACGACAGATGGGCTGCTGATTCCTGCAGGACTCCAATGACTGCTGTAATCCATAAACAGAGACCTAAGAAGTATTGGCAGAGAAAAAATGAGCTGCAGGCAGAAAGCTCAGTATCAATGTAAGCCATTTGAAAAGCCATTTGACAAACTACATAGACCTAGACCATTTACCTCTGCTGGTTTTGGGAACAGCTCTGAACGATGCCCTAATCTGCTTTCAGCTCTAATGCTCCAAAGAATGACAGTGACAGATAGGAATAACAAGAGAACAGGTGCGGTAGTAGGGATGATTGAAATCTCTCATCTGTAATGTTGGCTTTAATCACATTTAAAAAAGAGAAAAGTTCAAAGAAAGCAAGTTCTATTTTGCAACAATCCCATGAACTCTCAGAAAACAATCAGTCAGTAAATTTCTTACCAAGGCAGCATGTTTATGAAAAGTAAAAGAAAAGTATGTTCATGAGAGTACCAGTTTTGTGAGTGCCTTGCATTCATACTTGCTCAACATTATCTTCTTCCTGCCTTTCCAAGGACTTCACAATGTGTACACATCCAAATTTGTGAGTAAACATTTGCTGTTTCAAAAATTTCTAATTAAATTGAAAATAAGTTTGTGCTACCAGGTAGGGACTTTTGGTTATAACTTCTCATTTTCTACTAATGGCTGCTTTAAAGAAAACCAGGCATGTTTCTGAGCTTACTGATCCTACTTTTTCCCTGGAATGAAACCAAAAGTAAAGCTCTAATCCTTGTCACTTAACTGACAGATGACTATCATTTTAGATAAATGCAAAAAACTTGTCTGAAAAGCTGATCTCTACATAGTTATGTCAACTATGTTTGCAGGGTCCCTTCACCTCCAGCATTTTGTGTCTGATAGCAGCCTGCTATCTCTCAAAACCAAAACTATGTTGGTCAGAACTTTCAAGGCTGAAAATTTTCTTTTTTCACTTGCAATCACCTGGCTAAACAGTTGTTTTGTAATTGTCACATGAAAGTAAAGCCATTTATGTAACCTTTTCATTACTAATTAGGATTTAAAATATTTTGATAGCTTTCTAGAAAAAAACTTGATGAGGCCACTTGTGAGAGAATCATGGACATCTGCTGATCTTTATCTGAGACAAATTCATTATCAGAGTAAATTCACAGAACAGTTACAGTGGCACTGCAGCTGGTGGCACACTTCATCCTATAAGTTCAGTTCCTTTTTCTTCATGTCCTTCTTTAGAGGTTTGTCCTTTCAAATTAAAAGAAACTAAAATAATATTCATTGCAAAACTTTGTTTAAAGAATTAATTAAACATTGACTGAGTATGAATAATAAATGCTAAATAAAAGAACCCTTTTTTCCCAGCTGTGTTATGCCAGAGAACAGTTACAACAAGATATTTCTGCCCTGGTCTGTTCCTCCCAAATTACTTCAGAGTTGATTTTTTCATGGTTATTATTTTTCTATTCTTCGTTATTATTTTTTTAGTATGGGTCTTCCCCTTCCTGTGTTTTACAAAGCCACGAGCGAAAAACACGTCTTTTCCTTAAAAGACATTTGTCTCATTTTTAAAGCAAATTACAGCAAAAGGACCTCTATTATCTGAACTGAAAAAGGTCTAGGATACCATAGGTAATGGAAATATGTAGGAAACATAAGTGCTAGTTAACCACAGATCCAGCATAAGTGTAATTTGGCCTGTGCTGACACAGAACTCATAAACTTATCCTGACCAAGTTGAGAACTCATACAATCCACATCAAAAATGCCCCTGCACTGTGGCTTGCTGGGACCAGGTATCTATGTGTTTGGATGGAGAAACAGTTATCAGAAAACATCACCCCAACAATAGGAAAAGCATGTGCTGAGAAGTAAAGCATGGAAATCTCCCAAAGACTAGAAGTCCTGCTGAATATACAACACGGTCCCTACTTGAAGAGGGGCTGGGGCACATCGCTTGATCTGTGCTGGCTCTGTGTCCTCACTCAGGGCTGCATAGGAAACCACAGTTCCCTCTCACGGTGTGAGAAGATGTGGAAGCAGGTCAGTAATGGCCAGTATGAGGTTTAGAAAGTCTGACACTGAAGGGCTACGTCTCTACTCAGTGTTTTCAGATCCTTGATTCTCCACAAAGGTACCTCAGATCTACCAGGATGAAAAGTCTGGCCTTGTTCTGGATGCAGAACTAAGAGTACTGTCCTAGGACCTAATCTGGGCATGGGAGAGGAACATCCTCCTCCACGTAGCTCTGTGCCTGAGCTAAGCTTCAAGGCAAGACACTCTCCAAAATTCTAGACAGTGGGCAAAAGAAATGTATTGTATAAACCAGTAGTATTTTCAAGAATGTGTCAGTGGTATATGCTTTGCTAAGTGCATTAAGGATTGCCATGTATTTTTATTAATTCATTATGGTTGATCTAGTTATATAAACAGGAAATGGCAATAGATTAGCTCCTGGAGAGTGTTTCATATGGGATTACATTTAATGCTGAAATTCCTGTCAAACTCTTAACTTTCAAAATACTGATAACACAGTACATACTGTGCACTTTTTTGAACACTTGAGCAATGCATTCCCTGCAACACACTCAGAGCCCTAATAATCAAGATTGCATTTAGAGAAGCTTAATTTTCATTCTATTAATCTCTCCAGTGGTAAGAGTAATTATTCAGTATTCACTGAGAAGCAATCCCATAACATGCACAGGGTGCCAGTATGTTAGCATGGTTTGAATGACCGCATAGTGAGAAGAAATGTTTCTCTCTCACCAGCAAATTATTATGCAGGTCCTTAAAAAGACTGTGGATTGTATTTGCAAGATATGAAATTCCCTCTGCTACTCCAAATTACCTCCAAAGTGTCCTATCTTGTTTAGCATCATCTTTAAGGTCTTCCTTCCAAGACTGCCTTTCCTTTTATAACTACCTCTTTTTTTTTCACCATGCACATTTGTCCAGTCCTACATTCTGCTAAGGACTTATACCATTATAGTCATCTTTTATTCCTCTTACCTAAAGCCTTTTTAAACAACTCCTTCTGTGTCTTGTGCAGCCTCTTCAGGTGAACAAGGCAGAAAAACGGTATTTGAATAACGTAGGAACCACTGAACACTAACTGATGAGTTCTCTTTGTGTTAAAGCCATTTCTATTTCCAGGAAGTAAAGATAATTTTTTTACTGAAGAAAATATATCTTCTAACCAATTAATATCTTCCATTGTAAAAGATGCAGAACAGTGAAAACTAAAATGGTCTCTTAGATGACGTTGAAAATCTGTAAGTAACTAAACCTACAACTTAAACTTTGTACCTGTCAACATTATTAATCATGTCTCTTGTGTTTATTTCCTTCTGCAGACTCCTGTCATATATTTTGACTATCCTGAAAATAAAAACTATCTATAGTTTTTATTTATTTAATAACTGCAATATGAGAACAGTCTATACTAGTTTTGAGAATTTGCCGTGTGCACCTGACAGGCAAATTCCTGGACACTCAGCACTGGATGGTCACAGTTATTGTATCTAAGCTTCATATGTTAACTGACTTCTCAATTTTACAGTGACT